CGGAAACTCAAACTCAGCCACACACCACAACGCAAATCCACCCCCATCTGGCACGGCTTGGCGCGGGCGGTGGCGCGGGCGGTCAAGCGGCGGGCTGCAGCAGCGCAAGGAGCTAGTTTATATGAAGAAGAAGAAATTCTTTTGGCTTTAATTGCAGGAAAAGATTATAACGATGACAGTAAATGCAAAAAAAAATTAGAAGAATACTGCAAAGAATTTGAAAATTTGGATAAAGAAAAAATACATAAAAAACTTAAAAGCTTTTGTGAAAATGGGAAATCAGAAGAAAAATGTACAAAATTAAAAAACAAAGTTAAGGAAAAATGCACTACATTTAAAACAAATCTTCAAACAGCAGCTGTAAAAGGAATTTCAGATTTGACAGATAAAGATTGTAAAGAGAATGAACAACAATGCCTATTTTTGGAGGGAGCGTGTCCAATAGAACTTAAAGATAACTGCAATGCTTTGAGAAATAAGTGTTATCAAAAAAAGCGTGATAAAGTGGCGAAAGAAGTTCTTTTGAGGGCACTTCGTAGTGATCTTAATGAATCAAAGATATGTGAAAAAAAACTGAAAGAAGTTTGCCCAGTCTTAGGGAGGGAAAGTGACGAGTTAACGAACTCGTGTCTGAACCAGGAAGAAACGTGCAAGGATCTTGTAGCAGAAGGAAAAAAAAAATGTAATACTCTCAAAACAGATGTTCAAGGAGCACTCAATGGAAAAAACAAATTGCAAGAAAAATGTTTATCATTACTTGAACAGTGTTATTTTTACATTGGAAATTGCGAAAATAACGACATAATTAAATGTATTGAATTGGGAGAGAAATGTCAAGAACAAAATATTGTTTATATACCACCAGGACCCGATTTTGATCCGACTAAGCCAGAGCCTACAGTAGCAGAGGACATAGAACTGGAAGAGTTTTATAAGAAGGTAGAGGAGGATGGAGTTTTTATTGGAAAGAATCATCTAAGAGATGCGACAGCTTTGTTAGCTTTGTTGGTTGGAAAAGATAGTGATATGGAAAAAAAATGTAAACAAATTCTTGGAAAAAAATGCAAAAGTCCTAAAGAGCATGAAGCTTTAAATGATCTGTGTAATGATAAAGGCAATACTAATGCAATTGGGACAGAAAAATGTGAAAAATTGAAAGAAGATATCAAAAAAACATGTGATGTTCTCACGTTAAAGCTTATAAATAATCGTCTTTTTGATCCAACAAAAGGAAGTAATGAAATTGTTGGATGGGAAGGATTGCCAACATTTCTTAGCAATGAAGAATGTGCGAAATTAGAGTCCTATTGTTTCTATTTTGAAAAAAATTGTCCAAGTGGTGAAAATGCATGTAAAAATATAAGAGCAACATGTTACAAAAGAGGGCTTGATGCGCGGGCAAATAAAGTACTGCAAAAAAATATGCGAGGGTTATTGCGTGGTTCAAATAAAGATTGGCTTAAGAAATTTCAACAAGAATTAGTAAAAGTATGTGAGAAATTAAAAAAAGAAAACAAAGGAAGTTTCTCAAACGATGAATTATTTGTTCTGTGTGTACAGCCTGCAAAAGCAGCACGGTTACTTACACATGACCATCAAATGAGGACTGTTTTCCTACGTAAACAATTGGATCAAAAGCGAGATTTTCCAACAGACAAAGACTGCAAAGAATTAGGGAGAAAATGCCAAGATTTAGGAAAGGATTCGAATCAGATTCAATGGCCATGCCATACGTTAAAGCAGCAATGTGATCGCTTAGGGACTACAGAAATTTTAAAACAGATTTTATTGGATGAACACAAAGATACTTTGAAAACTCATGAAAACTGTACGAAATATTTAAAGAGAAAATGCCATAAATGGTCTAGAAGAGGAGATGACCGTTTCTCTTTTGTATGTGTCTTCCAAAACGCTACGTGTAAGCTGATGGTAGATGATGTAAAAGATAGGTGTGAAGTATTCGAAAAAAATATGCAAGCATCAGATATTAATGATTCCCTTGAAAAAAATAAAATAAAAACAGAATCAGCATCAAATATTTGCCCTTCATGGCATCCATACTGCGATAGATTTTTACCCAATTGTCCTGATCTTGACAAAGGAAAAACTTTCTGTCAAAATCTTAAAAAATATTGCGAACCATTTTATAGAAGAAAGGTTTTAGAAGATGCTCTTAAAGTAGAGCTTCGAGGGAATTTAAGTAAAAACAAATGCGAACCTGCATTGAAAGGATATTGCACAATATTGGAAAATGTAAATAATGCATCAATCAGCAGTTTATGTAAAAATAATACGAAAAATAAAACTGAAAAGGATGATGAAAATGTTAGAAAGAAGCTTTGTCTAAAATTAGTAGAAGAAGTGGAACAGCAGTGCAAAGTATTACCAGCAGAACTGAAGCATGAGGAAAAAGATCTAAAAGATGATTTTGAAACATATGAGGGACTTAAGGAAAAGGCAAAGAAAGCAATGAACAAGTCCAGCCTTATTTTATCACTTGTTAAGAAAAACCAAAGTAATACATCGAAAAATAATAGCAAAAACAAGGATAAGGATGCTGTTTCAAATGAAAAAGATACCACAAAATATGTGAAAATACTACGGAGAGAAGTTAAAAATGTACCTGTGACAGAATTGGAAGCCAAAGCATTTGATTTAACAGCAGAAGTGTTTGGAAGATATGTAGACTTGAAAGAAAGATGTGAGAAATTGGCCTCAGATTGCGGGATTAAAGACGATTGTGATGATTTAAAAGATGTGTGTGAAAAGATTGAGAAGACATGTCGTGATCTGAAGCCTCTGGAGGTGAAGTCGCACGAAATAGTCACAGAAAGCACAACGACGACCACAACGACAACAACAACCGTTACCGATCCGAAGGCAACGGGAGAGTGCAAATCTCTGCAGACGACAGATACATGGGTTACACAGACATCGACACACACGAGTACATCTACCATCACATCTACGATTACATCAAAAATAACACTCACATCAACGAGGCGGTGCAAACCAACCAAGTGTACGACAGGGGATGATGCAGAGGACGTGAAACCGAATGAGGGATTGAAGATGAGTGGGTGGAGCGTGATGAGGGGGGTGATATTAGCAATGATGATTTCAATAATGATTTAAAAAGTAAATGAATAGGATTTAATGATGGGCATGTATATTTAGTAAATAAACGAGCAGGGTAGGACAGGAAAGAGTAAAGTAGATTGAGTCATCTCTTCAGCATCAATTGAAAGTGCATTACACATGAAATCACGTGTTCCCTAGCCAGTTGTCCCCTATTCTCTAGCTGAGTAATCTTTTTTTATTGTCTAAAGTTTTTTACATTCTATTTTTCATTTATTCAAGTTTTATATTTATATCGCGTTTACCCCACATTTTACCCCACACAAATTTAAAATATCGCGAAGTTGCCAACTACACGTTAAAGAAAGCGGGCACCTTTAAATGTATTTGGTACACACTGCTTCTCTGACAAGTTTTATCACTAAGTTTACTTGAACTCTCTTAAAATTAAGAATAATTTAATACTCAAATTTGAAGACATGGCTCTAACATCTCACGTCCAATCAAAATACGCTAACGGAAACCCAAACTCAGCCACACACCACAGCGCAAACCCACCCCCGTCAGGCACAGCTTGGCGCGGGCGGTGGCGCGGGCGGTCAAGCGGCGGGCTGCAGGGGCACAGAATAGCATTGATGAGGAGCATGTTTTAGCTTTAATTCTAAAGGAAGATGGACTAAGTGAGCAGGAATGCAAAGAAAAACTAAAAAAATATTGCCAAGAATTAAATGAAGTAAATCTAAAAATAGAACAAGTACACGAAAAATTAAAAGATTTTTGTGATAATGGAAAACAAGATAAAAAATGTCAAGGTCTACAAGCCAAAGTTACGGAGAAATGTACAAATTTTAAAACAAAAAAGCTAGGACCAGCGTTAACAAATCCATCAGATGATAATTGCAAAGAGAATGAACAACAATGCCTATTTTTGGAGGGAGCATGCCCTGATCTTGTAGAGGATTGTAACAAACTAAGGAATAAATGTTATCAAAAAAAACGAGATGAAATAGCAGAAAAAGTTCTTTTAAGGGCACTTAGTGGAAGTCTTAAGGAAAAAGATTCATGTAAAAAGAAGTTTAAAGAGGTTTGCTCGTTGTTGAGCAGAGAAAGTGATGAATTGATGATGTTATGTTTTGATGAGGAAAAAACGTGCCAGAGTATCATGACTAAGGAACAATATAACTGCGAATCTCTCAAAAATGAAATTAAAAACGTGCTAAATAAAAAAGGCGAATTGCAAACAAAATGCCCATCATTGCTTAAGAAATGTTACTTTTATGATGCGGATTGTACTGGAGATAAACCAAATTGCAAAGAACTTGAGAGTAATTGTGAAGAAAAAGGCATAACTTATACAAAGCCGGGTTCAGATTTTGAGCCTATAAGATCAGGAATTACATTGGCAGAAGAAATAGAATTGGAAGAACTTTATAAAAAGGCAGCAAAAAAGGGAGTTCATATTGGAAGACCGCCTACAAGAGATGCTGCTGAACTTTTATTGTTACTAAGTCAAAGCGGTGCAGGGTCTACAGTTGTAGATAAATGTAAAAATACTATTCAAGAAAAATGCAAAAAATTTAAAGAGCACATTATTTTAAAAGATTTGTGTAATAATCAAAATATCACTGATAATCCAGAAGAAAAATGCAAAGAATTAGATAAAGAATTGACAACCCGTGCTTCAATTGTTTCTAAAGAGATTGAAAAATATCTTGACATAGCTAATGGGAAGAAAATTATTAGTTGGCATATGTTGCATACATTTTTTAGTGAAAGGAAGTGCACGAAACTGTTGTCAGATTGTTTTTATTTTGCTCAAGATAAAGGTCCTCTTAATAAAGAATGTGATAATTTAAAGGCAGCATGTTATAAAAAAGGGCTTGAAGCACCAGCAAATGAAGCATTACAAGATAAGTTACGGGGAAAATTGCAAGGTTCGAATAAAGCATGGCATGAAAGCCTTCAAAAGGAGATAGTGAAAGCTTGTGAGAAATTAAAAAAAGAGAGCGATGAACTATTTGTGTTGTGTCTGCAGCCAAAAAAGACTGCTTTTGTAGTTTCAACAGATTTACGATTTAGAGCTATTTTTCTACGGGAACAATTAGACGAGAAGCGAGATTTTCCAACGGAAACAGATTGTAAAGAATTAGAAAAAAAGTGCAGAATACTGGGACAAGATTCAAAAGAAATTAAGTGGCCATGTCTTACATTGAATCAGCATTGCGACCGTTTAAGAATTGCAGAGCAATTGGAGGAGAAATTGTTAGAAGAAAAAACAAAAGACTTGGATAAGTTCAGTTCATGTGTAGAAAATTTGGGAAAGTGGTGTAATGATTGGGCTAGAAGAGGAAGAACTCATTTTACTCTTGCATGTGTAGCACAGAATACTACTTGCAAGATTCTTACAGAAAAAGTTGGGTTTAAGTGTGCTAGGTTGCATGAACATATGAAAACAAATAAAGTTTTAGAAAATGTAAAAAATAACGATACAAGGGAAAGAATATGTACATCATGGGAACCATATTGTAGCAAATTCATCTCAAGTTGCAAGAGCTTAATGAAAGCTAATGGTGGAGAGTGTGAAGAGCTTAACAAGGAGTGTAAATCATTCATTGAAAGAAAGGAATTGGAGGAAAAAGTGATCGATGAATTAAAGGGTAGTTTGAAAACAGAGAAAGAATGCCAGGATACACTTAAAAAATATTGCGTAGCATGGAAGAATGCAACCAATCAACTTAGAACTTTGTGCACAGGCAAAAAGAAAAATGGCAAGAAAGATGATGTCAAGAAAGAACTTTGCGAAAAATTGGTAGAACAAGTAAAAAAGCGATGTCCTGGGTTAAAAAAAGAACTCACAGAGGCCAGTAAAGAGTTGGAGAAAAAAGCTAACAAATATGAGGATATCAAAAAAGAAGCAAAAGAAGCAATGGAAAAAGCAAATCTTGTTTTATCAAAAGCAAAAGCAACGGATGACAAATCTGCAGGTAAAACAGTACCATCAGAATCAGCACCAGCACCAGCACCGAACACACTACCAGCAGCACCGAATACAACACAAAACACAGTATTATTTAAACTTATAAGAAGAAATATAAACGCACCGGTGACAGAAAAAACATATGTTACAGAAAAGGAGTTAAAAGCATTTGATTTGGTATCTCAAGCATTTAGCTTGTATGTAGAATTAAAAGAATTATGTCATGATTCAGAGAAAGGATGTGGATTTAAGGAGGAATGCAAAGACATTAAGGACGCATGCACTAAAATTGAAAAAGCATGTGGTGGATTGAAACCACTAGAAATAAAGCCACACGAAATAGAAACAACGACAACAACAACGACAACAACAACAACAACAACAAAGACAGAAGGAGAAGGAAAGACGGCAGAGTGCCAGTCTCTGCAGACAACAGACACGTGGGTCACAAAGACGTCGACCCATACTAGCACTTCTACGACTACGTCCACAGTCACATCGAGAATAACACTGACCTCGACGAGGCGGTGTAAGCCTACGAAGTGCACGACAGGAGAGGGGGATGAAGCAGGGGAAGTGAAGCCGAATGAGGGGTTGAGGATGAGTGGGTGGAGTGTGATGAGGGGGGTGTTACTAGCAATGATGATTTCATTCATGATTTAAAAAGCAAATGGGCAGGATTTAATAATGGGCATGTATATTTACTAGATAAGAAGGCGGGGTAGGAGAGGAAAGAGTAGATATGATCTCTTCAGCATCAATTGAAAGTGCATTT